AGATTATTTGCTCAGCATACAGATTGAATAAGTATGGTGAAAGGATACAACCCTGACACACACCTTTCCTGACTTTATACCACGCAGTATCCCCCTGTTCTTTTTGAACGACTGCCTCTTGGTCTAGTAGAAGTTCTTCATGAGCCCAATTAAGTGTTCTGGAAATCTCATTCTTCACAATGTTATCCATAGTTTATTATGATCCACACAGTAGAATGCCTTTGCATAGTTGATAAAATACAGGTAAACATCTTTCGGGCATTGTCTGCTTTCAGCCAAGATCCATCTGATATCAGCAGTGATGTCCTTCGTTCCACATCCTCTTCTGAATCCGGCTTGAATTTCTGGCAGTTCCCTGTTGATGTACTGCTGCAACTGCTTTTGAATTATTTTCAGCAAAATTTTACCTGTGTGTGATATTAATGATAGATATCTTGGATAATCTCCACATTCTGATGGATCACTCTTCTTTGGAATGAGCGCAAATATGGCTCTCTTTCAGTCGGTTCGCCAGGTAGCAGTCTTCCAGTATCCTTGGCACAGACGATTGAGTGCCTCAGTTTGTTAAAACATCTCAGTTGGTATTCCATCAATTCCTGGAGCCTTGTTTTTCACCAATGCCTTCAGTGCAGCTTGGACTTCTTCCTTCAGTACCATCGGTTCTTGATCATATGTTATATCCTGAAATGGTTGAACATCGACCCATTCTCTAGTGCCGAAAGATGAGCCCCTCAGTTTGGAAGGCACTCAAAATACAACTGTGGAAGAACTGCCTCCTCAAAGTAGAGTCAGCCTTAATGATGTAGATGGAGTAAATCTTTCAGGACCTTCATTTGCAGACGTGGCATGACTCAAAATGAGAAGAAACAGCTGCAAACATCCATTAATAATCGTCACGTGAAATGTACGAAGTATGAATCTAAGCAAATTACATGTTGTCAGAAATGAAATGGAACACATGAAGATCAATATCCTAGGCATTAGTGAGCTGAAATGGACTGGTATTGGCCTTTTTTGTCTCAGACAATCATGTGGTCTACTATGCCGGGAATGACAAATTGAAGAGGAATGGTGTGGCATCAATTGTCAAAAAGAATATTTCAAGATCTACCCAGAAGTACAATGCTGTCAGTGACAGAATAATATCCATAGGCCTACAAGGAATAAAATTATAGAAGTTTTATAATACATAAAATTTGTCAGCAATGTCTTAAAATTCTTTGGGAAAAATAAAAAAGATATATACCTTGTCTCGTCACCCTGCAATTTAAATTTGAGAAGTCAATATGGTTCAAAATAGGAGAGAAGATGGTATCTTGAGTGTGCTTTTGACCAACAATGTATGTCTAAATATGAAACTTACAAAGGAAAGGTGGTGGAATAATCTTGGTAGTAGTTCATATAACTTTATTAGACCCTAATTATCAGCATTTATTTTGTCCATTTCTTCAGAGTTTACACAGATTTGGCATGGAGGAAAGAACAATCAATTATAAATGACTTACAGTTTACTTGAATTAATGAAAACACTTAATCAGGGAGTTGAATCATTTTCCTGTGTATCACATCTATCACCGTTGTCATTGCTATGACCCTGAATATTACTTTTTCAGGAAGTCAGTTTAGTACAGTGGGGAAAACTCTGGGGTCAAACAGACCTAGGTTCATATCCTGGATTCTGCTTTTTGTTCTATGACCTTGAGTTTGTTCTGTGGCATGTCTGAGCCTCAACTATAAAATAAGGATGATGTGGCACAGTTTGTGGTGCTACCATAAAAATTAAATAATATGTATAAGGTGCTTAGCACAGTACCTGGCACAGAACATATACTTAATCAATATGTGCAACCTTTCATTACAAACTCTCCTTGTACTATCATAAGAAGGTTTTTTGAAAGTGGAGAAGATATTCTCTTCTTTCTAATGACATTAAAAGTTCCATGACTTATGACAGAGGAAAATTTCAGTTTCTTCATGGATGCAAAATGGTCTTATTAGTTTTTATTTTTCTCCTTAATAAATGACAAATAAGGCCATTTCAAACAAGCTAATTGTGTTTTCTTTTTATATAGATTTTTGGATAATAAAGAAATCTGTGTCAAATTATATATACAAACAAACATATATATATATATACACTAGGTATGTATACTATATATAGGTTGTATCCTTTCACCATACCTATTCAATCTGTATGCTGAGCAAATAATCCGAGAAGCTGGACTATATGAAGAAGAACGGGGCATCAGGATTGGAGGAAGACTCATTAACAACCTGTGTTATGCAGATGACACAACGTTGCTTGCTGAAAGTGAAGAGGACTTGGAGCACTTACTGATGAAGATCAAAGACCACAGCCTTCCATATGGATTACACCTCAACATAAAGAAAACAAAAATCCTCACAACTGGACCAATAAGCAACATCATGATAAACAGAGAAAGATTGAAGTTGTCAAGGATTTCATTTTACTTGGATCCACAATCAACACCCATGGGAAGCAGCAGTCAAGAAATCAAAAAACACATTGCATTGGGCAAATCTGCTGCAAAAGGCCTCTTCAAAGTGTTGAAAAACAAAGATGTCACCTTGAGGACTAAGGTGCGCCTGACCGAAGCCATGGTGTTTTCAATCGCATCATATGCATGGGAAAGCTGGACGATGAATAAGGAATACCAAAGAAGAATTGACACCTTTGAATTGTGGTACTGGTGAAGAATATTGAATATGCCATGGACTGCCAAAAGAATGAACAAATCTGTCGTAGAAGAAGTACAACCAGAATGCTTCTTAGAAGCAAGGGTGGCGAGACTATGTCTCACATACTTTGGACATGTCATCAGGAGGGATCAGCCCCTGGAGAAGGACATTATGCTTGGTAAAGTAGAAGGTCAGCGAAAAAGAGGAAGACCCTCAACGAGATGGATTGACACAGTGGCTGCAACAATGGGCTCAAGCATAGCAACAACTTTGAGGATGGCGCAGGACCGGGCAGTGTTTCGTTCTGTTGTTCATAGGATCGCTATTAGTGGGAACCGACTCAACGACACTTAACAACAACAACAACATATATTTGTGTATATATGTATGTGTTCTCTCTCTCTATGTATATATTTATATGTATAACCCAACCTGATGTGCAGGAGTTAACAGCTCGCCTGCTAACCAAAAGATCAGCAGTTTGAATCCACCAGCCACTCCTTGGAAACCCTATGGGGCAGTTCTCTGTCGTATAGGGTCTCTATGAGTCGGAATTGACTCGACAGCAATGAGTTTGGTTTATATAGATAGATAGATAGAGTCTTGATATTTGGGTAGGACTTTTTTTCCCTCTTCTTTTTTTTAGGGGTGAAAAGGAATAGTAAGAGAAGAAAAGGGGTGGTAAATGTCTAAAAGTGAATGAAATTTTATTGTATCAAGTGTTCCTGGTGGGAATTTAAATTGGCACCACTATTTGGGAGGACAGATTTGGCAGTATCCAAATTTAAAGTGCTCTCACGAAGCAGTTTTATTCCTTGGTATTTACATGTGGTATATTTGCTGGAGCATTGCCTCTAACAGTGAAACATTGAAAGCAAACTGAATATCATCTATAGAGGAATAGTTAAGAAAATTATGGTATCTCTACACTATGAGATATTATATGGCAGTTAAAAAGAATAAGGTAGATCTATATGTTATGATCTCTAAGACATGTCATTGAGTGAAATAGGAAGCAAAATATATATATCATTTAAATATTGTAACTCTATGTTTTTGTAGGTATAGACAGGCATATAAATGCACAGAGAAAGATCTGAAAAAGATACTCACCAAACTTAGAAGTATTTACCTTTGAGAAAGAGACTGGGACAGAGTAGGGGTCAGGGAAATGCAGCTTTATCTTTACTGTTTTCATCGTTAAATAATCAGAATGTTGTTGTTGGTAGGTGCAATTGAATGGGTTCCAAATCATAGCGACCCTATGTTCTAGTATGTTATTTGTGTGATCAAACATAAATAAATTTAAATGTAGAGTTGTTGGTAGTGGGAACTGGTAAATTTCTAATGTAACTTTACTGGATCTCACAAATATTTAAAAATTGGCATCAGTTCTGGAGAAAAAACATCAATTATATATTAGGAGAGAGATGATTGTTTATAGGTATTCATGACAAGAAAGTGTTTGTGGCTTGATAAATTAAGCTGAAATTGAATTAAATAGCATGCTTTATTGTTGCCAAATAGGATTATTTAGACATTTAATGATACTACCTAAGTTCAGATATACTTTCATCTCACCTTTTTTACTCATATTGAAATAAACTTTAGTCACACTGAAAAACAAAATAAAACAGTTCTTCTCTTCACACCACTTAAAAATGTGTCTCATTGAACAGGGAATCTGTTGGATTTTACTTCCTAAAGATTATCTGTGAACACTTTAAGTCATCAGAAAATATTGGAAGAGCTCTACTGCTCCACATTGACATGCTCTTGAAAAGGAATGAAGAACTGCTTGCCAAGGAGAAGATTGAAGAAATCATTATAGGTCAGTGGGATTTCAGCAGGTGTTTTAGAAAGGTGTTAATCTGCATATAATTATAAGAAAGATGTAGAGCAGTAGCAAAATTCTCAGGTCAAGAGATTTTTCCTTTACCCACTTCCTTTTTTTTTTTTTTCTTTTTCTCTCTCTCCCTTTCTAATGGCCTTTAACAGTAACGCCTCACCTGTCCAGAATCTACAAGTTCGGCAACCTAGTAAAAGAAGCTATGCAAAAATAACAATATATCATCATCAACAACAATAAAAAACAAACCTCTCAACTTAAAGTTCGTGTATAGTGGAAATTTGTGAGGTTAGAGGCCTAATTTCAGGTTTTTTCCAGTTTCTTCTAAAACTAGCTGTATGCATTTGAGCAAGTCAGCGTCTCTGGAGCTTGGATTTTTCACCTGTAAAATGAGGGTGGTGAACTAAATTCATGATTTTCAAACTCCTTTTTAGCAGCAGCATCCATTTGGAATGCAATCTTATATGAACCCTACCCCAAATAAATTAGAGATTTTCTGGTTAAAGCAGAGATATAAAGCCAAATCTTCTCAGCGTTCCCCTAACCCTCCACCTCTCTGAAGAACTCTTACACCCTCAAGAACACAGATAGTATGATCCCTTTCTTAAGAAATTCTCTCCTTGTCGCCATCTTTCCAACTCTACACATCTATAGAAATAACTGGAATGATCGTCACTAAAACTAGAATGATAGTCACTAAACGTTAACCCTCAACGGGATGGACTAACACAGTGGCTGCAACAATAGGCTCAAGCAGAACAACAATTGTGAGGATGGTGCAGGACCCGGCAGTGTTTTGTTCTGCTGTACATAGGGTCACTATGAGTCAGAACTGATTCGACGGCACCTAACAACAACGAACGTTAACCCTGAGGTTAATTCTGAGTGGTAGCATTTTAGGTGATTTGTTGTTTTTTTCCCTATACTGTATTGCTTGAAATTTTATAAGTATGCATCATGTTTTTATAAAAACAAAGTCATTAATTTTTTTTAAAAAGCGAAGTCATCTGACTAAATGATTTCTAAGAGGCCTTTGAACTCTAGATTCTATAAACCATATTTTAAGGATGACACCCTCCCTCCAGGCCCTCACTGAGAATCCAGTTATTTTTAGACCCAATTTGATAAGCATGGTTATCTGGTTTTCTAATCCTTAGCATTTTAATGGTAGCATATCCCAAATAGAGAGAGGGCCAACAGGGAAATACACAGATAACCTGACCACAAGGAAGGAAAAAAATACTCTACAAATTTTACAAAAATAGATTAAAATATTTTTTAAAAAAGTATCATAATCTGTGATCATTTAATATACATGAAGTCACACTGTACTATAACCTAAAATATCTCACAAGTGCATCTTTGTGATGTATTAATAGTACAATAAAGTATGATCAATAGTTGTTAGTGTTGGTGACTTTGAATGGTCTAGAAAAGGTTAAATTGTGCTTAAGAATACTATAAATTATGTTTAAATTTTAGAAAAATTAGGGACTTTCATGAAATGATTTAGACTTTTTTTTATAAAAAAGGTTTTACGTTTAAAGAAAGTAAACTGTCAGTTAACTAGAAAACTCAGTTATCCAGAATAATTCATTTTCCTAGGATTCCAGTTAGCCAAAGTTTTACTGTGATATCTAATTAAACATTCTTTTATGCTCTCAAAATATTATAATATTTTAAGTAGATACATTAAGTAGCTTTTTATTCTCCTGTGGACATTTTTAACTAAGTAATGGAAGAAACTACATTTGCTGACTGAGCTAGGGGCTCAGAGCCTTTTAGAGTTCTAATCGAGATTTTTGTGGAAATTGAGAGTTTGTGCCAAAAGGATGGAAGCGAAGGGGATAGATATAGAATTCTATTATAATTTAAACTCTACTTTAATGCACTAATGTATTTTAACCCTGTAAATATCTAGACCATAAACAATCAGACATGAATTACAATTTAAAGTAGTAAAGTTTATGTATAATATTGGTCTTAAAGTATTTTCCAAAGGCTTTAAGATGTGATTGGCCTTGTGAACTTTATCTGATCTACTTAGTACATAACAGTATAAACATTTCTTACTGATGATTTCTGACGTTACTGTCTGCTCATTCACAATAACATTAAGACACCAGATTATGATCAAATTTGGAACATGGAAAATAAGTTAAAAAGAGACTATGCTGAAAAGCTATCACAAATTGATGGGAGAATTACTGTGTATCTAGCAAACTCTGATTGTATTATGTAATCAATTTTGCTAGTACACCTAAAATTGATTATGAAAACCTGTCATAATGTGGTTATGTTTGAGCCATTACTTAAAAATTACAGGTTCTGAGTATAGTTAGCACTCTGTATTTAATATAATAGATCTAGATTCCTGTGTTTAGAGATTGGGTTTTTTTCAGGTCATCAAATAGGAAGACGATTGACAACAGAATTAGCAGGCTGGTTACACAACGCTCTGTGGAAAAAAGCTGCCAGAAGTTTTGAGGTTTGGGAGTAATCTATTTTCCTTCTTTATATTTTTTCTCCACCCCAAGAAATAAAACAGTGTGTTCACAATAAAAATCAAAACGCATCAAATACTTTAAATACCTTTCTCTGTTTAGGTACCATCTACTTATTAAATATTTATAAATGTAGGGTGCTAATGGGCATTATACAATAGTTTATTAAAAATTACAAGACATGATTCCTCCCCATTTGGAGCTTACAGTGTAGGGAAATAATATCACTGATATTAAGATGTTGTTGTCATGTGCCGTCAAGTCAATTTAGACTCAGAGTAGAACTGCCCCATAGGGTTTCCTAGGCTGTAATCTTTACTGGAGCACATAGCCAAGTCTTTTCTCCTGGGGAGCCACTGGTGGGTTTGAACTGCCAACCTTTCAGTTAGCAGCAAAACACTTAACCACTGTGCCGCCAAAGCTCCATTAAGATATGGGGGTGTAATTTATTTTAAAATGAAAGATGAGAAAGTCAGAGGTTTTTTTTTTTATTTAACTATTTTTATTGAAGTTTGATACAGATTAAAAAGAGCACATATTGCTATGTTTGAGCCCACTGTTGCAGCCACTGTGTCAGTCCATCTCATTGAAGGACTTCCTCTTTTTCGCTGACCCTCTACTTTACCAAGCATGATGTCCTCCTCCAGGGACTGGTCCCTCCTGATAACATGTCCAAAGTACATGAGACGAACTCTCACCGTCTTCACTTTTAAGGAGCATTCTGGCTGTACTTCTTCCAAGAGGGGTTTGTTCATTCTTCTGGCATGGCTGTACTTCTTCCAAGAGGGGTTTGTTCATTCTTCTGGCAGTCCATGATACATTCAATATTCTTCAACAACACCATAATTCAAAGGCATCAATTCTTCTTCGGTCTTCCTTATTAATTGTCCAGCTTTTGCATGCATATGAGGCGACTGAAAAATACCATGGCTTGGGTCAGGTGCACCATAGTCCTCAAAGAAACATCTTTGCTTTTTAACATTTCAAAGAGATCTTTTGCAACAGATTAGCCCAATTGAATACATCATTTGATTTCTTTTTCTATTTTTTTTTATTGTTGTAGTTTAAATGAAGTTTGCATTTCAAGTTAGTCTCCCATACAAAAATTTATACATACATTGTTATGTGACCCTAATTGCTCTCCCCATACTGTGACAGCACACTCCTCCTTTCCACCCCTGATTCCCCATGTCCATTCAACCAGCTCCTAACCCTCTCTGTCTTCCCATCTCACCTCCGGACAGAAGCAGCCCGTTCAGTCTCTTAAATCTGCTTGAGCTAAGAGGCACACTCCTCACGAGTATCACTTTATGTCCCACAGTCCAGTCCAATCTCTGTCTGAAGAGTTGGCCTCAGAAATTGTTTTACTTCTGGGCTGATAGAGAATCTAGGGGCCATGCTTTCTGGGGTTCCTCCAGTCTCGGTCAGACCATTAAATCTGCTCTTCTTACTATAATTTGAGTTCTGCACCTCATCTTTCTGCTGCTCCATCAGGGACTCTCTCTTGTGTTCCCTGTCAGGGCAGTTAATGGTGGTAGCCAGGCACCATCTATTTCTTCTGGTCTCAGGCTGATGAAATCTCTGGTTTATGTGGCCCTTTCTATCTCTTGGGCTAATACTTTCCTTGTGTCTTTGGTGTTCTTCATCTTGCTTTACTCCAGGTGGTTGGGACCGATTGATGCATCTTAGAGGGCGCTTGCAAGCTTTTAAGATCCCAGACGCCATTCACCAAACTAGGATGCAGAACATTTTCTTAATAAGGTTTGTTTGCCAGTTGACCTAGATGTCTCCTGAAAGTATGGTCCCCAGACCCCTACCCCTGCTACTCTGTCCCTCAAAGTGTTTGATTGTATTCAGGAAACTTCTTAGCTTCTTTTAGTCCAGTTATGCTGACTTCCCCTGTAGTGTGTGCTGTCCTTCCCTTCACCTAAGATAATCTTGTCTACTATCTAGGTAGTAAATAACCCTCACTCTCCCTCCCCACCCTCGTAACCATCAAAGAATTTATTTTTCTGTGTTTAAACCTTTTCTTGGGTTCTACTAATAGTGGTCTTATACAATATTTGTCCTTCTGTGACTGACTAAATTCACTCAGCATAATGATCTCCAGCTTCCTCCATGTTATGTTCCACGGCTTCATCATTGTTCTTTATCATTGCGTAGTATTCCATTGTGTGGATATACCATAATTTGTTTATCCATTCGTCCGTTGATGGACACCTAGGTTTTTTCCATCTTTTTGCTATTGTGAACAGTGCTGCAATGAACATGGGTGTGCATATATCTATTCATGTGATGGCTCTCATTTCTCTAGGATATATTCCAAGGAGTGGAATAGCTGGATCCTATGGTACTTCTATTTCTAGCTTTTTAAGGAAGCGCCAAATCGATTTCCAAAGTGGTTGTCCCATTTTACATTCCCACCAACAGTGTATAAGTGTTCCAGTCTCTCCACAACCTCTCCAGCATTTATTATTTTGTGTTTTTTGGTTAAGGCTAACCTTGTTGGGGTGAGATGATATTTCATTGTAGTTTTGATCTGCATTTCTCTAATGGCTAATGATGGTGCGCATTTCTTCATGTGTCTGTTAGCCGCCTGAATATCTTCTCTGGTGAAGTGCCCGTTCATATCCTTTGCCCATTTTTTAGTTGGGTTATTTGTCTTTTTGTTGTTGAGGTTTTGCACTATCTTGTAGATTTTACAGATTAGACGCTGATCAGATTTGTCATAGCCAAAAATTTTTTCCCACTCTGTAAGTTGTCTTTTTACTTTTTTGGTGAAATCTTTTGATGAGCATAAGTGTTTGACTTTTAGGAGCTCCCAGTTATCTAGTCTCTCTTCTGGTGCTTGTGCATTCTTACTTATGGTTCGTATTGTGTTTATCCCACGTATTAGGGCTGCTAGCGTTTTCCCTAATTTTTCTTTCATGGTCTTTATTTTTTTTGATTTTGTATTAAAGTCTTTGATCCATTTTGAGTTAGTTTTTGTGCATGGTGTGAGGTGTGGGTCTTGTTTCAGTTTTTTGCAGATGGCTCTCCAGTTATGCCAGCACCATTTGTTAAAGAGACTGTCTTTTCCCCAATTAATGGGCTTTGGGCCTTTGTCAAATATCAGCTGTTCATAGGTGGATGAATTTATGTTTGGATTCTCAATTCTGTTCCAGTGGTCTATGTATCTGTTGTACCAGTACCAGGCTGTTTTGACTACCGTGGTGGTTCAATAGGTTCTAAAATCAGGTAGTGTGAGGCCTCCCACTTTGTTCTTCTTCTTGAGTAATGCTTTACTTATTTGAGGCGTCTTCTCTTTCCATATAAAGTTGGTGATTTGTTTCTCCATCTAATGAAAAAATGCCGGTGGAATTTAGATCGGGACTGCATTGTATCTGTAGATCGCTTTGGGTAGAATTGACATTATCACAATGTTGAGTCTACTTATCCATGAGCAAGGTATGTTTTTCCACTTGTGCCGGTCTCTTTTGGTTTCTTGCAGTAGTGTCTTGTAGCTTTCATTATATAGGTCTTTTACGTCTCTGGTTAGATTTATTCCTAAGTATTTTATCTTCTTGGTGGCTGTTGTAAATGGTATTGGTTTGGTGATTTCCTCTTCAAGGTTCTCTATGTTGGTATAAAGGAATCCAACTGATTTTTGTATGTTTAGCTTGTATCCTGAAACTTTGCTGAAATCTTCTATTAGTTCCAGTAGTTTTCTTGTGGATTCTTTGGGGTTTTCTGTGTAGAAGATCATATCATCGGCAAATAGAGATACTTAGATTTTTTCCTACCAATTTGGCTGACCTTTATTGCTTTTTCTTGTCTTATTGTTCTAGCTAGGACCTCCAGCACAATGTTCAATAAGAGAGGTGATAAAGGGCATCCTTGTCTGGTTCCTGTTCTCAAGGGAAATGCTTTCAAATTCTCTCCATTTAGGATGATGTTGGCTGTTGGCTTTGTATAAATGCCCTTAATTATATTGAGGAATTTCCCTTTTATTCCTATTTTCTTGAGAGTTTTTATCATGAATGGGTGTCGGACTTTGTCAAATGCCTTTTCTGCTTCATTGATAAGATCACGCAGTACTTGTCTTTTGTTTTATTTATGTGATGGATTACATTGATTGTTTTTCTAATGATGAACCATCCCTGCATACCTGGTATAAATCCCATTTGATCATGGTGAATTATTTTTTGGATATGGTGCTGAATGCTATTTGCTAAAATTTTGTTGAGGATTTTTGCATCAATGTTCATGAGGGATATGGTCCTGTAATTTTCTTTTTTTGTAGTGTCTTTACCTGGTTTTGGTATCACGGTTATGCTGGCTTTGTAGAATGAGTTTGGGAGTATTCCATCCTTTTCT